TCCTCTTTCTATCTCACATTTAGCGAGGGCTGCCTTGGTGTTATCCAGGCTGATCGCCCGCGCTAGTGCCCCTAGACTATCCGGGGAGATCCGAGGTAATATCTACTTAGTTCTATAGTTGAAGGGCCTTACAATCCTTTGACAATTGGTCCCAGCTACCGGAACTGGCTTCATCAGAGTCCGAGAGCAGTGAGGGGCTCCTCACTGCATACTTTGGAGGTAGAAGTAACCAGCTTCGTCGCCCCAAAACCACTCATTTGAGCATACACGAGTCATGCAGAGACCTCTGATTGAACCGTGGCAAAACTGGTCGATAGAGCCAAAACTTGCGACTATTCTGTAAAATCGAGTGGTGTAGGCTTACATGCAACGAAAATCAATGGACATGAGTAGTCCCATGGTGTCGCAATCCTCGGTAACAGATTTGGAGCAGCGGTAATTACTAGTAATTACCTTTGCATTACCGTCCTGAGTATATTCTCGGTAATTTTAGCCGGTGGCCATACCAGAGGATGCCAGGTATTTCCCTGCACTGGGCAGGGAAAGAGCCACATCCTCGCCTTATCATCGCAGCATGCTAAGTCCGAGGTGCTTCGACCTCGATTTTGCCAGTGCGCCACTTTCCGTTGTCCTGGGAGAGGGAGAGGGCAAGCTTGGCGTGAACTTGGCGACCGGGCCATCGGTGTTGTGGGGTGGCCATGCAGTAGTGTACGGGGCGCGCGTGCAGAGGAAATTTCCACGCACTTCAAAATCATTGCCATTGTATTTCAAAGTTGCATTCTTATTTTACTGTTCACCAGTGAGATGTCCCAGCAGCTCGGCCCGTCACTCTATCTTGTCACGAGATCTTTTCCTGAATGCGAGTAGGAGAATCCCAGAGACAGTCAGGGAAATAAGCCGCAATTCAACTTGGATATTTTTGCGAAAGAGGTTCTCCACCGGGATGTATGAAGCAGTGATCTCACGAAGCTTCTGCCTGAGCTTGGTATCGTACTCCTCTCCAGGGGGCGATTTTGGAGAGTTTTTTGACAGGCCTTCGCAATGTACTGGTGTGCATTCTAAGACCTGCCATTTATGAAAGTTACGCACGACCCAGTGCTCCGATCCATACTGCCAGTCATCCTCGAAAAGGACCTCTAATCCCTCGGCATCAATTTTTGAATCCGAGGCGAAGAATACCACATTGCTAGCATCAGCACCGTCAATGGGCGAATCGCGAAATGCTCGCACAAATTCAAATTTTTGGGCCATAATAGAGGCAGCGCGATTAAGGACATCATTGTCGGCTTCCCTCTCACCAGCGATAGCAATATTGAATACAAGGAGCCCCGCTGCTTGGTCCCTGAAGCTCACCTTGATATGTCGCATCGTTTCACTGTTGAGGAACCGCCACGTGGATGCCATTCCGACGCCATTGAATGCATCCACGATCACCAGGTCGTGCGATCCGTCGCGAACATGCTCAATCACGTCTACACCTATTTGCTGCACAATCAATGTCGCATCAACGTGGCAGAACGCAGAATGGTTGCCATCTCCCACTGAGCAACCGACACCAAACTCGATACGAGCAAGTCGCGCGACTACTGGATTTATCTCCACTGCCCGCACTTGCACATTTCGGTGTCGTAGCTCCTTCACGACTGACCCGGCGCCTACTCCAAGAGTGATCGCGCTTGTCGAAGCCGGCCGCAAATAGGTTGCCGCCGCCTGTATAGCCAACCCGCGGAATGCAAGCTCATGCGGTGTGTGCATATGCATCGCCCCCATTATTGCGTGCTCTGATATCAAGAATTTCATGTCGTTGTGATATAGTATCTACAATTTGCAAGAGAATCTAAAATTGGTTCAAACGTGGGAGGCTCTGCAAACGCGCGTGCGGTGGTCTTGCCATCTCAGGCATCCAGGTGTAGAGAGTTATCGCTAAGCTGAATACGAGCGCATGGCCGATACTCATCCTGTCCTATCCTCGAGAGTTACAGCCAGCGTTATGCAGAATTACAATAAATTTCAAAGTCTATTTCCTTGCCTAACAAATACTAGACGAAATGGGCATAAATCTACCTCAACGTGAGGGGTTGCACTGCAACATGAGCGACGGGCGTCGTCGCTGCGCTTCTCGGGGAGTAGCCTCCGACGTATTCCCCGCTGGCAGAAGCCTTTTTTTGGTGGTTTTATGCGGCTATGTGGATGCGGTGGTGCCCCGCGCTCAGGGGCCCGCGGCCGTCGCCGCGCGGACCGGAGCCGTCCCCGGGGGCGCATCGAGGGCGGCAAGCGGGTTCTCGCGGCGGCCCTCGAGCGCGGCTAGTTCGACCTCGGCGTCGCGGTGGCGCCTGATCTCCTTCTGGAGCCGCTCGACCTCCGCGAACTCGCCCGCCGTGGCCTCGCCGCGGGTGACTCGACGGTACGCCTGCTTGTAGCGCCACGCCGTCCGCTCGAACATGCGCACGCGCAACACGGGCAGCACCTTCGGCGACAACGAGCGAAGCGTGTCCTCCTGGAGGTGCTGGTCTTCGTCGCGGCCGTTCTTGCGCTTCCACCGCGAGGCGACGCCCCAGTCGTATTCGATACCCTCGCCGGCAAGTTCGCAGTGGCCCTTGGGTGTGAACATGGCGCGGTGCCCGAGGTCCGTGACCATCTGCTCGAGCTCCGAGGTCTCGTTCTGGTAGTCTCCCAGCCCTTCCCCGCGATGGCCGCCTCCGCAGAGTCGAAGTCGCTGGAGAGGGACTGCTTCGGCTTCTTCTTCGGCGGCATGTGCCTCGACGGCGGGCGCCGCGGCGCCGCGCGCCGGCGGCGGCGCCGGGCCGCGAGCTCAAGCCGAAGCACTGGGCGCGCTTGTGACGCGGAGCTCGCGAGGAGACAGAGAGAAGGCGCCGTCGGCCAATGAGGTGCAAGGGCTGGGCATTTGAACGGCAACCTCATAAGGAAAATTGACGCGGTCGCTATCGCGACGGACTCGTGAGTTTGGAAAGTACGTGCCTTCGACAAGGAATCCGGGCGTGCTTGCTCCCTGCTTTGGCTCCCGTCCCGTCGGACCGAACGCGCGTAACTACGTACTTTGGGAGGAGTCGGACGCGTAAAACTCGTCCCGGTCGCCGGTGTTCAGTAGGGGGCGAGTTGCGGCGTCACGTACGCGTCCCGGGTCGTCCGTCGTGACCGGTCTGGGCGCGCGCCGTGGCGGGCGTCAATTTTCCTTTTGTGGTGCCGTTTTAAGGCCGCTTCGTCTTGTAAAGAGCAACCAATATCCTACCTAGGATCACATACATCTTGACACTCCTCTCCCATCTTTGTCTTCATTAATCTCGCTGGCAGTTAGTTTGTGCGGTACCGTACCGAGTCTACCTCAAGTAGCCTCCTTCTCAAGTACGTGCTAGCTCCCACTCAGACTGTCCGTGACCCTAAATGGGCCCACCCACACAGTGAACTACTTAAGGAAGATCAGCCGCGTCGCAGGCAGCACGATGTGAACCCAACACGAAGCATAAAGATGTCTTAGAACTTAACACCCTAGCGAAACGAGTGGGTGGGAGTTGAGGCGGGGACGAGTAAGATACAGAGATTACTTGGTTCTTGAACTTTGGCAATGAATGGTTGCGCTGCCAAGACGGCGTTGCCGCCTTCAGAG